CCCCCCGCCGAGCGCTGCGCCGCCGGAACCCCCGCTGAGCGCCGCGCTGCCCCCCGCCACCCCAAGATTGGCCGCCCCTTACCAGGTGCCGCCCCAAGCACGTGCTTGGTTGCTTGGAGCCGGCCCTGGAGACAAGTATCAGAGGAGTAGCCATGTTAGTCTGGATCTGTAAAAATCATATTTGTACCTGCCTCTGGAAATTTCCACTACATTCATCTGATGAAGTGGGTATTCACCCATGAAAGCTTATGTTCCAATACGTCTGTTAGTCATAAGGTGCCACAGGACTCTTCGTCGCTTCTTAAGGAAAGGAGAGAAACTCCATCTTTATCTTTCACCTTAGGTGACGAAGAAACCAAGCAATTCGATCTCTATGATGGGTCCTGGCCAGGCTGGACAGTTTAAAAAAAAAAAAACTGGAAGGGGGCCTGTGGGTGACAGAAACCATCTTAAACAAAGACTGTATCTTGCTAGATTACGTTTTAGACTTCAGGATGCATGTTTTCATTTTATTTGCTTGTAACTATTTCTACCTTTATCTCTTTTACTTGGCATCACTTAATCCATGCATTTTTGTTGTTAAATTTGTTTTGCTTTGGTTAGAAATCATCAGTGCTGTGTAAGTTCAGTAAAGTGTGTGCTTCTAGAAAGCTAACAGGTTGGCATGTTTTACTGTCTCTTTAAAGGCAGTGGACCTAACACTTTCTTTGTGAGGGTCCAGTGAGAGGGACTGATCTCTGCAGCAGGATGATTTGGGGGGTGAATTGAGAGCTGGAAGGGTACTAAGGTCAGCTTGCAAGGAGTAACCAGGTTGGACAAAGCCAGGGTGAGGCTTGTGGGCTGTTGGCTGGCTGCTGGGGTCAGAGCTCTGGATAAAAGCTGCACAGCCACAAGACACCCAAGGTTACAAGGCAGATGGTGACTGAACCCATTATTGGCCTGGGTGAACCCCAAAAAGTCACACATGGTAAGATGGTTTTTACTTATCTCATCATGACCATATCCATGAGGGGACTAAATAGACAGTTTCCGGCCGTCAAGGACCCAACGCCTTCCTGGATTTGAATTTGTTGTTGTTTGTGCTTATGGGCCCTCCCTTTGAGCCACTGGCATCGTACTCTCATTTTTAAACCTGTCAGTGAAGGTTGCCTTCCTGGTAGCCATCACCTCCTACGGAGGGTAGATGAGCTGAATGCATTGGTAATTGATCCACTGGTACATGGTTTTGTACAGTGACAAGATGCAGTTGAGACCACACATCAACTTCCTTTTGCATGCTTTCAACAGATATCGTGCACTGTCTGCACAATCAAGAGATGATGTAAATATAGGTAAGGCAGTCTTACAGTTCCTCTTCTGATGAGACTCTGAACTCCACCACCTGCGGTAGCAGCTGGCAAGTCACCTACAATGTAATAAACATATGGAAGCACTCAAAGAAGAAAAAATGGTTACATACCTTTCCATAACTGTTGTTCTTTGAGAGGACGTGGCGGGGTGACTCTGCCTTTATACACTCACTTTGCAGCATGAGGCCTCAAAGATGGCTAGGGCTGCCCCTACATGTTTTGGTAGGGAAAACTCTCCAGCACCATTGCACAAGGTGTGCACACCTCTTCAGTGTAATGGACTTGCGCAACGCATCTGGAAGAATAGTAGTGACAGAAAGAACAGGAGTACTTGTGGCATCTTTTTGTGGATACAGACTAACATGGCTGCTACTCTGAAACCTGTCAGTGACAGAAAGATTAAGTAAACATTTTTTTCAGCAATTAATTGTAACATTGACTATACATTTATATATAGTACATTATCTTTTGTGATATTTTTGAGAAGTTTTCCTTTCCTTTTTAATTCTGTATCCATTTATAGCAGTTATACCACATTACAAGTGAACACTTACCCACAATTACCACACAGTGGCATCTGAGATGTTGTATGATTTTCTTACACTTAGGGTGCAAAGTAACTGGATTTCAGAATACCACATTGTGGTAACTTTGGGTAAAACTTGACTTTTTATTGGCAACTTTTGAAGTATCATTGCTAGTTAGTTTTTAGTTTTATAGCACCAACATTGTGCCAAGAAGGTAACATACAGGTATGAAGACAACATAATTTATGCTTCAGGGCATTTACAGTGTAAACAGATAACATACAAAGAAGGCAGGAGGTTGAAATGGAACAAAGAGAAGCATTGAGATTGATGTAAAAGTTAAGCACAAGTCTTGTTAGTTTCTCAACATCCGTCTGATATATGTAGGAGCACACAGGGACACTTTTTAGTGAATTTGGGGACGTGGAAGATGAATACAAGAGCTAACACTTACATGAGTTTCAGTGGGCACAAAACCCAAAAACATTTTAGCTTACCGTTTATTCTGAACTTTGCTATCTTTCCATCCCAAAATTGCATACTTCCAGAACAAATTTATTGGTAAAAGACATGCTTTTAAGGCTGAGGTCCGGTATGTGTAGAATGCTATGAAGTGAGCAACTGCTGCAATTACTTAATTGCCCGCATCTGCACTGAAATCACCAGTAGTTTAGGCTGATCACACCTTGCAGGATCGAATCCATATTGTAGTTTGTAAAGAACAATGGAGTGCAAAAATAATTTAGTTTATTCTGTACCCTGATTTCCAGGGTTTAATTTTGTTGATAAATGTGGTATAACAATAGTAGGTTTCTATGTGTCTTTTATTTAAATATTTTATTGGGTTTTAAATATGGACACAAAAAAATCAACAATTAATACTATTCTATAACTATGAAAAAGAAGATATTGTACTAGATTCATACATCTATCAAAACTGCTTTGCCACTGCTCTAGTAGCCTTAAACCCAGCCTAACCTAGCCTCCTAGTGCAGGGGAATTTTCTGGTGGTATAGGTCCTTGTAGTACCTTGTGTACCATCCTCACTCTTGACCTCTGGTGTAAGGGGTGTGGTTGAGGGATCTCTCTGGCTAATCCCCAGATACTAGAAAGCCCATTATAGGCTGTTTGTAGCTGTATATAATATAGATCATTCTTCAGTCTTGAGAATATAGGACAGAGAATGAAGAATATGGTGGTAAACATAAATTGAGTATATACACTGCAGATAGTCATCTTCTGCATTCCATCCTGGCTCCACTCCAGTGGTGATTTCAGCCATAATACCCTGTTTATCATCTTCTCTCTGACCTATCTGCACCTTCTTCCATGCTACCCCGTGCTTACCATGCTATCCCCTAAACCTGTTCTGCTAGCCACCTCTCACCTCATTCAGATACCTCCTAAAAACTAACTTTTTCTGTCTTGACTATGAAAAATTAGGGGAGGGAGAGGGGAAAATAAAAGGAACATGACCATCAAGATGTGTACATGCCTCTTTGAGCTGAATAAGCATGTGATCTTATTATTGTTACCCTTGTTCTTCAACTTTTCCTGGTCTTTTGCATGTTTATAACCCTATTTTCAAGTCTTGTTAAAGTTGGATTGCATGTTCTTGTGGGCTGGGACCATATATATACTTGTTGCTTTGAGGCATTTAGCACATTTTGGCCACTCAAAAATAATTATAAAAGCAAGAATAATATATTGAAAAATATGTTGGCTATAAAATATTAAGTTGTTAGGCCAAAAATTATTTAAAAGGTGAAGATAATTTTAGGTTGGCAAAACACACTTTTGTGTGTTTCGTGCTCTATCTGCAAAATGTATTCATTATAAATAACAAAAAAATGCAACCCACACTTAGTTAAAAAATATGGAGGCTAAAAGTGGAAGCAGTTTGAAAGGTATGGCTGTGCTTATGGATGTGCTGACTTATTCTCTTTTATTAGCATCACATAAAAAAATTAGGTACTGTAGTTAGTCATTACTGTCTCCTTTTATAGTATTTTTACAAAAAAAGTTTTTGAAGGGCAAGATTCTGTATTTAGGTTCAACACCCACCTCCCAGCTTCTTTACACACAATAATTCTTATTCTTTTTTTAATGATGTCTCTAATTTTTTAGTGGATTGACATCATATCAAAGCAATGAGACATACTGTCACATAAGGGAATCACAATGATGTAAAAATGATGGTAAAAAAATCAGTGCACCCCTAGGGCAACTGTGTTATGGAATTAGAAAGAATGTTAGCTCAAAGCAACGTTAATCTGAAGTTTAATGGCAAAATGGTTTCATTATGTATTTATGCAGACTACAGTAATATAATTCATTGTAAGGGTCTGATCAAGCAACCTCTTTGACTACTCACATGGATAAGGGTTTGTAGGATTGGGCCCTAGGATTGGAGGCAATGTAGAGGAAATTCCTTACTGGCGGTCTTATCCGCTCCCACAAAAGGCCCTGGTGCTGTTCCTGTTCTGAGTTGAGGGTATAAAATATGGAACTGGCACATCTACCCTTCTATTTCTTCTCACTGTCTGTGCTCAGTGGTCAGAACATGCTATCAGTTGTTCTTCTGAACTTCTAGTTAGTATTTTTTCTAGTTTGTGTAGATGTGGGGTGGAAGCCAAAAAAATTATGTAAAACTGGACCAAAATTGTCTCTTTGTATTTCTCAATGCTTAAAATACCCTCTCCCCCAAAATATAAAACACCACAATCTAGTATTTTCTCTTCATGTTAAGATCTCTCTGTCCATCTTCAAGATCTTCCCTTGAAGTACTCCCTTGCTTCACCAGCAGGGACTGACTCGGCTTTTTTTTTTTTTT